CCACCTGAAGACTGACAACGGCAGCCTTGGCTGCAGTGACAAGATCACAGACTTTAACATCCTAAGGGGTGTGAAGAAAGAAAGTAGCAGAATAAAGCCCTAGAATTTCATAAGAGCAGATGTTGATTTGCTTGGGGAGCTGTTAGGAGGTATCCCAGAAGAGTCTGCCTTGGAAATCAAAGGTGTTCAGGCATATTGGGAGACTTTCAGAGACAGCCTTCTCCAAGCACAAGAGCAGTCCATCCACCCAAGCAGGAGAAGGAGCTGGCAGAGCAAGAAAGCAGCCTTGTTAAACAGTGAGCTACTGAGAGAACTGAGACGTGAAAAAGGAACCGGAGAGAGATGGAAAAGGGAACAGGCTTCCAAAGCAGAACGTAGAAATACCTCTTGGGCACACAGAGACGCAGAGAGAAAGGCTAAAGCCCAGCTGGGGCCCAAATTGGCAGGAGATGTCAAGAGTAGCAAGAAAGTACTAACACACTGTAAGTATGTTCGCAAGAAGAAGGACAAGGAAATGATAGGTCCACTGCTGAGTGGGACTGGCAAGTTAGTTACAAATGACAGCGGGAAACCTGAAGATTTTCCTTCATACCTCCTTTGGCTTGATCTTCACAAAGCAGGTCAGCCTCCCAGGTCTCGATGGAAGCAGTGACGAAGCAAACAATGAGCTGCTGACAGTGGGAGAGGGTTGGGTTAGCAGGAGTCGATGTTGGCTTCTTCCAGGTGCCTTCTCCTTCATGCCTGGAAATAGCTTCCGTGAGGACCCGTTCCACAGTTTTTCAAGTGACTCAGGTGAGGCTGACTCATCTGTAAGTTCCCAAAACTTCTTTTTTGCCCTTTTTCTAGACGGGCGTAATATTTGCCCTTTTCCAGTCAGCTGGGCCTTCCCCGAACCACGTGACCTGTTAAAGATGTTAACGTGTGGCTTTGCAGTGTCTTGGCAGCCTCGGATGCCTTCTGCCAAGTCCAATTGACTTGTATATGTCCAGCTTCTACAGGTGGTCACCAACACTCCTGAGCTCCTTTGCCCTCCTAGGGGACCTTTCTAACAATTTCTTGGGAAGCTCAAATCAGGAGTAATTTTGTGTATGATCATCTGCATGTAATGTATAGAAATCTGAGACTGCCAACAGAAACATGATGCCACAGACCTGTCAACTTTGATGCAATTAAAAGCTAGTGCAACGCCCAAGGATCGGTCAAGTGGGTCAGGCAGAAGAAGGAATGAGCCAGAAGGGCTGTGGCAATCCTCAGCCAAAACAAAGAAACCATCAGCCAGCTAGCCAAAAGAAGAAGAAGAAAAAAAGCAATATTAAAAACATATCCGATCAGACACTCTGGCATACTCATCTACCACAACATGGCCCCTTCATGTTCTGCTGTCATTGCCGTGTTCATAAGCCTGAGAGAAATGCAATAATGCATTTTCCCCCATATTTGTGCTCACGTATGCTCACATTTTACAAAAAAAACCCCACAACAAATGTTTGACAATGCGACAAGAGCGCTGGAAGGCCTTGAAGGGAAGACCGGAGGGCTAGCAGGCCTTGCTGCAGATGAGACACTGTCACTTGGTGGCCACGACCAGCTTTGACGCCTTGCAGAAGGAAAAAACCGGCAACCAGACTTAGTGAAGTGAGAGCACTGAGAAATGCAAGTATCTGTTAGGGTCTGTCAAGGGGGGGATCCTCGTGGGAACCTCCTAAGGTACAAACACTGGATGACAGCAGAGGCCTTTGGAGGTAGATGCAAAATCTGCACATTGCCCATCAAGGAGCGCAGCCTGGAGTGCTGGGTGGAATGGGTTTGAAGGCGTAACAAAGACCGAAAATGAACATAAATTCAGCTCAAGTATATCATGCCATATACAGTGAAAGTGGGAAGGAAATCAGAAGGTATAAAAACCCGCACAAGAAAAGGAAAAGAGAGAAGAATTTCACCTGCACCACCTCCCCAAGTAAGGAAGGGACACCATGTGTGATCAGCAACACCACTTGAACAACAGCAGTTCCTCCTCTGGATTTGGGGGGAGGAACGCCGCTTTTTTCATTTGCCCCTTACAACATTTTGCTAACGTGGGCTTAGCAGTTGTATGTAAAGTAGTAACTTTTACGACGTCATCAGGCTAAAGAAACTGGGATGAGCTGTGCCTGTGCCTGTTGTGTTCTCTGCTTCAGCTTGCCCAGCCAACAAGGTAACCGACACCACCAAGGCAGAGTAAACTCGTACGGCAGAGCTCTGGGAGAAATCACTCACTGCGTAGCAACAACTCACCCTGGGAATTAGGACAGCACCAGGCTAGAGGAAGAGAGGAGAAACACATCTCACGACAACCTCTCAGCCTGAAAAAGGGACTCGGTCCCACCAGCACCTGGCATCACACGCCCCTTGCTTCAGCAGTGACGGTGGCCACCACGAAATTACCAGTTTGGTTTTTCCGGAGATCCCACCGCAGCTCGGACAAGGTGAAAGCGAATCGTTGGCGTTTGGCATCGTGGGGGCCGGGGGGTGGGAATCCTCGTAGGCCAAATGCTGCCAGGCAGAGAGAGGTCTCTGGTGCCCGCATCTCCCAAGTGACAGTGCCGCAAAGCTGCGCTCAGCGTGCGCCTTTCAGGTCAGCATCAAGGTATCCCCGGGGGACTGAAAAGGGCGACAGCCATTTGGAAGGAGGTTTGGAAAACCAGCTTATACAGTTCGGAGTGGTTCAGCATTCATTGCAAGAGACCTCAGGCAACTTGGTCAAATACTCTTCAGTTTTCCAGTGCCTACTATTAACACTATGTATGACATACTCCAGAAATAACACTTCCACACGAAGAGTCTGCAGACGTTTTACCGTGTCCACTACCGCGCGCTAGCAGATGCGAATTCTCGAGTCGTTGTAGATGGTTTTTAAGGGTGGTGGCAAGGGGGCTCTGCTGTCTGATTTGGATGGAGGCATCTGATAAAACTCTACCTCTATTAAACACCTGATTAGCACAAAGACATCCTTCAGCAGGGTTCTGGTTTATAATAGACACAGATGTAGTTGCTCGGATACCATCAATGTGATAAAAGGAAGGGAACCCAGATGGACAAGTAGAAACGATGACATTTTAGTGATGCCGCTCCTAGGGACGCCGTAAGCCTTGCAGAACAATTTCCAGTCTCTGTGTGACCACGCGGCAAAGCACACAGATTAACAGCAGTTATTGTCTATATTGATCTTTAACGCCTTATTGTTTTCCATGGGGATAAGAAGGGCTGCTCCAGTGCCCTGGAGCAGAAGATTGCTCCTCCTTCTCCCATGGTTACGTGCAGGATTACTGCTGCCCTTCCAGACCTGAAGTGGCTGCCTCTCAAGAGCGCCTGGTATATTCATCACGCAGAACGCACATTGCGACTCCTCAGACTGAAAGACGTGTAAAAACACACGCTGTGCAGCAGGAGACTTCAGGAACGAGGGCCCGGTTCTCAGCCGGAAAGGATTCCCACAACAGATGTGCTTGTGCGTTACTGTGGAACACTGGGGAAGGGAAGCACCTTTTGTTAAAACAAGTCTACACGCGAAAAAATGATACAAAAGCCTCACCAAGAGTGGTTTTATGTTCACATTTCCTTTTTTCGGTCAAAATTAGCATAGGCATATAGTAATGTATTCGATTTTCTCCATTAATCCAAACAAAATCACTTTTTCTCAAGTAGATCTTTAAGATTTTTATTATCATTAATTATGTGTATTACAATAGCAGCCAGAAGCCTCCAAATTAGTGCCCAATGCCTAGGCCTCCGTCGTACAAACAGATGTTAAAAAACTGGCCCAGCTCCAAACTGACGACAAATGAAATCACGAGGATAAAGAAGTCCCTTTGGGGTCCACGTCTAAGCAGGCAGGCAGGCAGGCAGAGACCCAGGAAACACACAGCACGCTGATCATAGAGATCATAGAATCCTTTGGGTTGGAAGGGACCTATAGAGGTCATCTAGCCCAACCCCCCTGCAGAGAACAGGGACATCTTCAACTAGACCAGGTCTTTTTTTTTTTTTCACTTTTTGGGTAGACTCTGAAGGAAGAAAAAGACTCGGATCTGTTGGCGGATTGCATTTCCCACAAGGGAGCAGCCACGGTGCTGAGGTCATTATGACCCATTTCTTCAGGCTTGCTGATGATCCTAGTTTCAATCCTTGCTCAGTCGGATCCTGAGATCTGGAGAGTGAAAACACGTGTCCTCACTGAGGACACACTGTAAACTTCCCACTGCCTTCTCTGAAATCAGGATTTCGAGCCTGCTCTCTGGTGGCAGATACAAACCACGGGAAGAAGAAAGCTGCAGGAGGAGGAGGAGGAGGAGACAGACCTGCAGACAGGTAGCTTACCCAAAGCCGAGCACAAGAATTTCATCCCTCCTGCCCCATCAGTGGGGCTGGTTGAATGCTTTCCAGTGGGGCTGATGTTCTGGATGAATGCTTTCCAGGAAAATGCGACGGAAAAAATGAAGATGAAATGGGAAAATATCTACACCACCTTGCATGAAGGTGATGTTGGCTCTGCTGCCTTGTCCGTATTGCAGCAATGCCTAGGGGATACAGAATTAAGCCAGAAGAAGCTAGAAGGAGGTGGTAAAGGAAAGACAAAAGAAAGAATGCCACAGAAAAGAAAGCCTCAGTTACACACCTTCAAAGAGGCAGAGGTAGCTTGGGCCATCACTGAATGGGACAACCTACCTGCCTGGCTGAGTCTAGGCTGGGATGGTCTAGTTTTCTGCAGGACAAGCAGATGTGAAAGGGAGAGCGGTTGTTCATGTGCCCTTGTTGCCAGCCACCCAAGACAGCCTTGCACCTTTCTACTGAACTTTACATCCCAGATATATAAATCATGCAGAATTATTCTCCTGAAGGGTGAAGGTAGCCAAGCCCATCCTTTTGTTTTATTAATGAGAAGTCATCCTGACACAGTGGTCGCTTTGTCAGCTTTATAGGTGCTCCTCACCCACAGAGCAGTACTACAGCAAGCAGAGCAGCTATGCAGCGAACCCCTCAGCTTTCAAACCTCCCGGGGAGGAGCCCTCTCTACCAGAGACCTTTTCCGTCAGGGCAAATGAGATCCTGCTAGGTAAGAGATCCCTTTGCTGTCTGGCAGGAAACACAGCACTGACCCTCCTGAAGGCTCAGACTGAAGACAGCCTCCTGCAGCGCTCACACGTGCCAGACAATGTCAGAAAATTACCCCTTGTCAGGAAATCATTAAAAGTGTTCTCTTTTCCTCTTGGGAGTTCCTTGAGACTCTGTTCCCCTCACCTTTCTCTCCACAGTGGCTGATGGAGGAGTTTGCAGGATACAGGACCTGAACCAAAGCCAGCTGAGTAGCTGAGACTCCCTTCTAACCACAACTACTATTCTTCTTTGAATCAACCCTTCTGTCCCAGTGCTTATCAGCTCTCCGTGTGACAGTGGCTACACTGTGATTTCAGCTCCGACAGACCGAGCTCTGGAAATAGCTTCATGCTACCTAAGTGAAGCTCTGCTGACTAATGAAAATACCAGAGGGAATGACAAAATTGTTTGGGCAGATGAAAGAAGGGGCAACGGGCACAAACTGAAGCAGAGGAAGTTCCGTCTGAACACGAGGAAGAACTTCTTCCCTCTGAGGGTGACGGAGCCCTGG